CCTTTTGTTTATGTTAGATTGGGTGCCATGCTCTCATATTTTTACAAAATGTAAGTATCATTAATTTAAATTAAAATACATAAATTTAAATATCTTGCAAGATCCAAAATTGAGATAATAATGTTAGTTGAATATATAATCCCATAACATAAACACACCTTAAATGCTCTAATCAATAGCGATATTTAAACTATCATTTTTTTATAGACACCTCATGATTGAGACAATTTTTAATATAAAGAGTTATTAAATGAAACCATAAAAAATTAAATACCATTAATTTATATTAAAATACATAAATTTAAATATGCTTACATGATTCAGAATCGAGATAATAATAGTTGTCAAATATATAACCCAATACACCTCAAATGCTTTAATCATTAGTTGTATCTAAGTTGTCACTTTTTAGAGATACTTCATGATTGGTATAATTTTTAATACGTGGAGAGCTATAGAGTGAATCAATAAAAATAAAGGTACAAGTAATTTAAACTACAATACATAAAGTTAAATATCTCTATAAGATTCGGAATTGAGATAATAATATTAGTTGAATATATAATTCCATAGCATAGACACACCTTAAATGCTCTAATAATTTGCTATATCTAAGTTGCCACTTTTTAGATATACCTTATAACTAATTTGACCAATTTTTTAATGTGAAGAGTTATACAATGAGATTATAAATGTACGTAGAATTATTTTTTTTTCATACTAAGGAAGGCCAAGACTCAGGAAAAGTTATACTAGAATACAAAGATTCATAGTAAGACCCATTACATCTCTCATTAGAAATGCAAAGATCCCACAAAAAGATTATCTAACAAATGAAATCTTACATCATAAAAATAAGCCAAAGAAGTCATGTTATTAGCCACTAAATTAGCCTTCCTAAAAGCATGAATATATTGAACTTCCAATTGTCTTTGTGTTTAGCTTTTGATAAATTAAACTAAATACCAATAGGGATGCAATCTTCCCACATATGATTGAAAAAGTGAATAACAGTTTTAGAATCACACCCATAATAAGCTATGTTATCCTTTTACTCCAAGCTACATGAAAAATATAAGTTATATCCCATAACTTAGCCATAATAACATTAGTAGATCCTAAAATCATCAAAATCCACCTTTCCGATTGTCATTCTCTTCCCTTACAACCTAGCACAAGAAGCACGGTTCTCACCTTGTCTAACTGAGCTATCACAATTAGCATTAGACCATCTAGGTTAAGGAGGAAACCATTTCACATTTTGATAGGCATATTTATTAGAGTTGTTAATATAGGTTCTGGTCTATTTCGGCCCACCTTGAAAACGGGTCGAGGTGGGCCAAAAAAATGAAAATTTTAGTAATGGGTCAAAAAATGTAACCTAGCCCATCCGGGTTGAACCCGTGATGAGTCGGAATGTCCACCTAACTTACTTACACTCCCATCAACCCAACCCACTTAACCCATTTATTATTATATATGGATTATTTTAACAAGCTGTCATTTTTTTGTCGATAAAGATAAAGTTAATGTTAAACAACATGAAATTACTATAAATTTATTTACTCAAACCTATAATGAAGTTTAATATTGATTAATAATCACTCTTATAAAAGGATTTTCATTTTTTTGTTTTGATTATTTAAAGTTGTATTAAGTTTATTGTTATATACATGATATTTAGTTTGATAATTTTTACTTTAGATTATAGATTATTTTATATCAAAATTTATTTTAAATTAATTTTTTTAAAAAAATTAGGTGAATTGGTGGATCAACTCGTTTAACCCACCAACCCATGATGGATCGAACCAGATTTAAATTTTTTGAACATTAAGATTGGTGAGTTGGATCGGATCAACCCACATAAAAAGTGGATTAAGGTGGACCGAGTCAAACTAACATATTTTAACAGCTCTAATATTTATCAATTACTCCCTCCATTTTTTTTTCTATAGTCGTTTTGTCAGATTTTGTTATTTTTTTTTCATTGTCACTTTCCTAAAATCAATGACTTATTAATTTTCTTTTTCATTTTTACCCTTGATAATTAATGCATGTTTATTAAACAATGTGTCTATTCATTTTCTAATATTATTTATTCTCCAACTACCTAAAAGGTATAACAAAAAAATATGTAATAAATATTTTAAAAAATTAAAATATCAATAATTATCTTAATTCTTATGCATAACCTTAAAGAAAATGAAAAGAAAAACAGAGGGAATATTGTCCTTGGAATAAAAACATTCTTATCATGCAAAGCTTGTACATACTTTTGTATTGACATGCGATCCACTTCCTCGAAATTAAATTTTGTAGAATAAAAAACAAGGTCATTCCTTACTTTCCAAATGTTAGTAAACGTAATTGAAAAAAGCAAATTCTATGTCACACCATTGACTTTTAAACAAGAGTCATGGATATTTGAATCAAGCCACTATGATAAGTCTTGCTGGAAAATTGAGTATGGCAAATTCACATAAATACCCACCCACACTTGAACCACCTTTGGGCAATCTCTAAGAACATGTAACTCCACTTCCTTCATTTGATTGCATAAAGGACATAACTCACAATCTACCATGTACCTCTCATATCTAAACGAATTAGTAATCAATCATGAACATATTTACATAAGAACATTTTTTCTCTAGGATACAAGGATGAGTTGTCAAATGGTATTTCAAATAGAGTGACTGGACATATCATTCGTACCTTTTGTAAAAATCTTACGCAAATTTGGTAGAAAACATAACATCATTGGTGAATCTCCAAATAACTTTGTCTTCTTCCGAATCTTGGTGAAGTGGATGAATACTCATGATCTTCATAAACAACTAGCAAGGGATCAAATTCTAAAAAATTTGTGTTTGCCAAGTTCCTTCATTAGTCACATAATCAACTATACCAACATTTCACCTGTCAATAACAAGACCAGAAGGTAATTAACTAGCGATCCCACCAAAATTTCACATAACGTCCATCTCCCAAAAGCCAACTACAATTATTTTCCACCGAGTCCCAAACCTTACCAATACTTCGCCATAAATCAAAAGCTTTGTTAGGAACATGTAAGGAGGGGATGACTAGGTCAGAACATTTATATTTACTCCTTAAAACTTGAAAGCATCAAGGTCATGAATAATACCCCATCCCAATTTCATAATGAAGGCTTTATTAAATTGATATAAGTCTCTAAAACCCAACCCACCCTCCTTCTTAGGCATACAAAATTTATCCCAAGCAATTGAGTGGCACTTTCTAGTAATATCAACACCACCCCAAACAAAGTTCCTATTCAAATGTTCCAACTTATAACAAGCTTGCTTTGATAGAAACACAGTCTGCATCGTATATGTTGGTAAAGTTGGGATGACAGTTTTAGCTAGATTACACTTTCAACAAAGAATAAAGAGCCAGTTCACCAACTACTTAACCTTTGCTGAGTCTTCTGCAATAAAGAATCATACAAGCACTTCTTCCTTCAATGAATAAGTACACCTAGATATTTCCTAAGGTCACTTGTCAATCCAAACCTAGCCACTGGGCTTAAATACATGACATGATGATGATTAATATTTCGAGACACAATCATACGAGTTTTAGCAGTTGAAACCTTTTGGCCTGAGGAGTGGCAAAAGACATCAAGACATTCCAAAACAACTTCAACTTGGTCTCCACTTGCTCTAGCAAATAATAACAAATCATCTGCAAAAAATAAATAAGAAATTTGAGGACCATCTCTACTTAATTTAACAAGTCGCCTGCTCATTTTTCTCACCTCATGCTCAATCAGTTGGGCAAGGAGTTCCACACACAACACAAACAATTAAATGCTTCTATAAGATTCGGAATTTAGATAATAACGGTAATTGAATATATAATCTCATAACATGCACATCTTAAATACTTTAATCATTAGTTATATTTAAAACGCCACTTTTTAGAGATACCTAGTGACAAGAGTTGTTAAAATGAAACTATATATAAAAATGTAAGTACCATTAATTTAAATTAAAATACAAATTTAAACAATTAACTATAGATATCTCTTGCTTTATATATATTGTTGGTCAAATATATAATCAGAGAGTAGAAATACTCTTTAAATGCTCAAATCATTAATTATATCTAAGTTACCATTTCTCGAAAACACCTCAAAAACGAACTAAATTTTAATATGCAAGATATAATACTGTAAAAAAATTGAGAGATGTAAAACAAACAAAAATGTAAGTGTTGATTTAAATTAGAATACATAAATTTAAACCATTTCTGATATTCATTACTTTTAGTCTAAAGGGTTTGTTTGGATGAGTTTTTCCAAAAACACTTTTAAGAGAGAAAAATAGAAGAAAAAAAATTAAAATAAACTTCTTCATAAGTTAAAACTAACTTATACAAGAATTAAAAATAAGAATTTGAAGAAATTAATTGGATAAAACTTGTATAAATTAACTTACGTACAAGCTAATTTTAATTTATAAAAAAAATTATTTTATTTTATTTTTCTTATTTCTTTTTCTTAAAAGTACTTGTGAAGAAATATATATCTAAACAAACACTAATACATAAGTATGAGGCATATATAAAGAGCTTAAAAAAACAGAGAGAGAGAGAGATGACAACGTAAGTAGATGAACTTAATACATAAGCGTAAATAAATATAATACATACGATGTAAATAAAGAAAACATCATCTACATGGATAAATAGCAACCTGTCGACAGATGTGTGATGTGTTACATACATTGGATTATCCCTTATTTTTAGTCTAATATATATTCGCGAGCACCATAGATGTCATTATTTTTCTGTTTAGCACAAATAAACGTCATCCATGTAAAACAAGTGCTTCGGAAGATGAAGAATGATAAAAGCTTATCCGTTTAATTAAAATTTCATGTTTAAGATAACACAATAGATCATTGATAAAAGAAATAATGACACATTATTTCAAGAGAAGACGATAAATCAGATAAATTGAAACCACAAAGACCGAACCACATTTCAAGACTTCAATTTGAACTTGATTACATATAGAAACTTTATAATTCCAAGCAGAAATAGAAATGGCAAAGCAAAAATGCTTTTAAATCTAAGGAAGGTAATCATTTTCTATCATTGCTCTTGTACGAGTACCAAATGCTGATGGTACTTTGGTGTCACCAATGTATGCTATGTCCAAGGTTTCACTGCTATGAGCAACACCTTCCAATTGTTGTATACTTTTCCTTTTTCTGTGTCTTCTCACTCCAACAACCAATAGCCACAAAGTGACCAACAATAGAACCCCACCAACCACAGAAGGAACCACAATCTTTAACATGAACTTGTTCTTTCCATCACTAGGTGCTTGTGATGGGGCATTTGATTCCACAACTATTGAGAAGTGCCCTTGTTGCATTGTTGAACACACATTCCCAGGTAACACAATGTCAAACTGCACAGAACCATGCAAGTCAAAATACACACACTTGGCCAATGCCCCAAATGGTGCTGGTTCCACATAAGGGAATTTAACCAAAAGAGGCTTATCAGAGGCCCTTAGGTCCAATTCAGGAAGCTCTGAGGCAGACAAATTGACACCGCTATAGGCCAAGAGGCCCAAAACAGGAGCCAAATATGAGTAACCAGGTAAAGGGTAAAATGTGTGAGACCAATTACCCAAGTTGTGGTACACCAAGACAAGCCTCTCCACATAGGGACTCTCAGCAACCCCAATTGGGATCTCAAATTCTTTGTAGCTCTGAACTCCCCTTGTCCTCAAACTACCACTCCTGAGTCTCACTGCTGAGACTTTGATCCCTGTTAGGTTGGTGGGCACTTGAGCATCATAGGGCTCCCCAGTTATTGGGCCGGAAAGGGCCTTAAAGGCCCAATCTTGAAGATGGGCATCTAGTAAACGAGCCGAGACAACAGCATCATGTGGGAGTTGAGCACTTGAGAGTGACACACAAAGAAGGCATGCCAATGAGAACACCATAAACAAATTGGTTCTGACCCTCATCTAGATCTCATTCGTATGATCAAAAGCAAGAATTTTTTTCCTTGTTGAACCACACAAACACAGAAAATTGTTGCCAAAAAGAAAAGAAATCTTCACTATTCTGTTATGTGTAGCAGATGTTAATGATAAGGGAAATTAAACTGATTTAAAAAAATATATAGATTTCAAAAAACAAACCAGATGTTTTACTTAGTCGGCACTAGGGGCGAAGGGTTGGAGAGCAAATCTTGAAAATTGTTATCTAATCAATTTGGTGTTTGAAATTGAAATCAAGGAGACAAAAAGAGAAAGGTTGATCTTTGATAAGGAATTTGGTTATTAGAGAGAGAAGAAAATGCATGGAAAATTAAGGTGAGAAATTTGGAAAGTATGAGATGAGTTGCGGGTGGCATATGAGTTTGGAAATGTAATGCATGGATGGACATTGCTTTCTCTTCTCTCTTTTATGACATTTTATTTTATGGACTCACTCACCTTTATAACTTGGTGATATTATGAGATATTGATATCCCTTAATTCTCGTAATTTTGAAGATATAATCATGATTTGAAAAAAAGTCATGTAACTGGTGTGTCATATTTCGGTAGAAGAAGTTTGTGGTCTGTAGATGAAAAATAAAAAACATAAAAATAATAAAAACAAAACGTTGAAAGGAGAAGAGATCTCTATAAAAAGAGATTATCTGAATTTTTTATAAAAATTAGTCAATGAATACTTTGACTAAAAAATATTATGCATTTTTTTATTTATGTTATTGATATGATTTTATTAATGATTAATTTTTGTTGAAAAATTTAGAATCACGATTTTTTCATCCACACTATTCAAATTCAAAATTTTGCTTAAAGAATTAAGTCTAGCATTACCTAAACTAATAACTTGATAAAATTATTATTTATTGTAAAAAAAATTTATAAAATCATGTTTTTTTATCTTTCTATTTTCATTATTCATAATTTTAGTTTCTCTATTTTAAAATAGAAATATTTAATCTCTCTAATTTTAAAAATGTAAAAATTTGATTCTCTTATTAAATTAATATCAATTAATTATTAAATTTTAATGTTTACACATATTTATCTAATATGACATTTAATAATATGACATTTAGAAGAAATTTTTTTTAAAAAAAATTATACATATAAAATTTATTAATAAAATAAATATCAATCACTTGTTCAAATATATATAAACAAGAATATATTATATTTAAAAATGATAACATATCACTCTATAATCCACTATTCTAATGTCAATAGTCACAACAACTATTACCACCCTTATCATAATTATTGATAACAATAATAATAATAATGACAATGACAATAATAACAACAATGATGATAATATTACCACGGATTCCTATGAAAGTAGTAATATAAAAAATGATAACATATCACTCTATAATCCTCATATATATATATATATATATATATATATATTCTTATATGTTATGTCAATTAAATATCATGTTATTTAAGTAGTGATGGATTACTAAAAAAATGTTAAAATTTAACAATTAATGAATAACAAATTAATATTAGAACCAAAATTTCATATATTTAAAATAGGATATTAAATGTCTTTATTTTAAAAGTGAGAGACTAAATTGCAGATAAAAAAAATAAAGAAATAAAAATTACAATTTATCCTAGTTTTTTTTAAGTATTTAAAAGTATTAAACATTTTGTTTGATGTCCATATTATTGGTAGCAGAAGAAAGGAAAATTTGTCAAAAATTGAGGGGTAAAAGTGCAAATAATATGCAAAATACGGTTATTGAGCTTGAAATATCGAAGTATCCGTTACTGTCAATGCTATCAATGCTATCAATGCTAGAAACTGCCTGACCTAGTTGAACATTTGACTAAGCCTGAAAGTTGAAAGGGTGGTGCAAATATTTTAAACGAATTGATTCAGAAGCATCTAATATAATTATAAATAACTTTATATGTTGAAATGAATAGTAAATTATATATAATAAATGTTATTTAATAAAAGTTTTTACTTTTATTTTCTTAATTAATATCTTTAAAATATCAGTTAAGATTTAACTCTTTTAATGAGTTGTTGCCATTTGCCAGTTTTACTATGCTTAAAATACCAGGGGGGAAAAACTATGCTCAAAATATAATCACTCTTCGGTAAAAAGAATAATATATTCAAAGAAAAAAAAAATATATATATATAACTAAATTTTATAATAAATTATATTTAAAATTTATATAATAAATATTTTTAAACATATAAATTATATTTAAAACTTGTGATAAATAATTTATACAATGATATAAGATTATTTTTAATTATTGATAATTTATTTAAAAATATTAAATTTTATTCATAAATAAAATTTGAATTGGATAACATTTTGTGAAAGATAACCCCTTAAAATATTATTGTCAAAGAGAAACTTCTACAAATCTTCCCATCTAAAAATGCTTTAAAATATTTTGTAAAAAAAAAAGAAGAAGAAAGACACTAAAAAAAGTGTTGAATGGTATCAATAAAAAATTCACACTTTTTTTAACTAATAATACTAATAGTAAAGGGTGTTAAAGGAGTGACAGACGAAACATATGATATTTTTATACTGGTTCGTTTTAACTACTATTTAGAGATGACATTCAATTCTCAATTTAACTAGATTGAATTTCGGTATTTTAAACAAAATAAAAATATTATTTCAACAAGTTACTTATGAGTCAAACCTAAGTGTTATTTGAATTGTTTCTTCAAGTAATCTACCCAAGTGTTCTTTTCACATAAAGCCTCTTCGAACTTAAACAACGAATATTATTTTACAAGCAAGCTTCTTTATACTCAAATAACAAGTATTCTTTTAGCTCAAATCCAATAACTTAGAGTTACTAAGATTTACAAGTTGTTTTGTCTTCTTATCAAGACATGAAACAACATTTTAAGTACAAATAACTACAAAAAGAATAATAAGAAGTCCTAAAAATATTTCTTCAAAGGTTCATCAATAAGTCATCACATTCTTTCTAAGCATGAAGTTTCTTATATAATATCCCGGATGAAGATGATTGTCGTAAAACCTTGAGGGTTACTCATTAACTTGTTTTGTTTGTCTTCATTACAACTTCCTTGAGGTAAGAAGTGTCTGTTGATACATTAAATCTTTGCATTAATTGTGTTTTACCAAATTTTCATTTCTTATCTGATTAAGAAAACTATTTATTAGCTTTAGGATAACAAACAGACAATATGTAGTGTGTGTCAACGAGCAAGTTTTGCATCAACTTTTACCGACTTTCTTTATGATTTTAAGGATTTGTTTGTCCTTGTTTCTTGTGCAAAACATGACTTCATTCACTTTAACATATTTGTGAGTTTCAACGAGTTTTCTTAGTTCGATCTATCAGTGAATCAATTTAGACATACAACAAGTAATTGTTATTCATTATAAATGCTATGCATATAAAACTTTATGTTTCGTTTGATGACACATCATTTATCTATTGATTTGCATCTTATGTTTTGTCTAATTTGTATTTTGCACAAATATTTTCTCTTATAAAAATGTTATGTTTGTTATCATTAAAATTTGAAAGTTTAAGGGATCCAAAATTAATTTTTAAATTAATATTTTTCCTTAAATAGAAACTCATAAATATATTCTCATGCGTTAAATAATTATTCGTGTTTAATATATAAGAGTGAATTAATATAATTTTGTATTAATATAATTTTGTATTATGTAAACACTTCACTATCCTCACTTTCCTTCACATTCATTACTATCCTCACTTTCCTACACATTCATTATTTATTCACTTTCCTACACATTCATTATTTATTTGAATGTGGGTAAACTTTACTTTATGTGTTAGTGTCACTTATATTTTTAATATTAAATGAATCATCCATTAGTTAACAAGTAATAACCTAATATCAAAATAAAATATATATTTTATCTTTAAATTTTAAAATTCAAATATCATTTTTCTCCATCATTCTTATATTTACTTCAATATTTTTTTAATCTCTAATATTTGAATATATGATTTTCATGTTTATTACAATGTTTTTTTTAACTATCAATAGTTAAAAATAATTTATATTCCAATATAATTTATTTATCATAAACTTTAATTATAATCACTCATGTATATAAATTATAATATTTTCTACTTTGTAATGTTTCACTCTCTTATATTCATTTTTATTTGAAAATTCTCCCCTAATTAAGAGGTGAATTTTATTTTGTGTCTTTATATTTTTCATATTAAACTAAAGTTATATTATTCAGCATGTAACATCAAAATGAAATAAGTATTTTATCTTTAAAATTAAAATATTAATTATTCCTCTTTGTTATTTTTATATTTACTTTAATATTTTTACCCTCTTATCTATTTTAATATATTATTTTCATATTTATTTTAATATTTTTAACTTCTAATCTTTTTAATATATCATTTTCATATTTATTTTAATATTTTTTTTAAATATCAATATTTAAAATAATTTTATATTATAATATAAGTTATTCATCATAAATCTAAAATACAATTTATATATTAACATTTATTTATTTATTTCATTTGATTATAATATAATATATAATTATAACTTTTTATTTATTATAAATTTTAGTCATATAAATTAAATAACTATTTTATGCATAGTATTGACTAAAATATTAGTACAGTATATAATAACAAAAATATTAATGTATTATAAATTTAGTTGTATGAAATAAATAATTATCAGTACGTTATATAAGATAAAAATGTTAGTCATTATTATTTCAGTTAAACTCTTATTTTTAAACTAATTAAGTAAGAGAGAAAAACAAACCGTATAAAAAAATATTAAAGTAATAAATAAATAAATAATCAAGAAAAAAACTAATTAGACTACATTGACATTATAAATGTCGTTACATTCATTCAATTGCATTATAATGTATGATAAGTTTATTAATTATTATAATAATTGTTTTAAAAAATATATTATATTTATGATATTTTTTTATTACTTGTATGTGTAAAAATATTTACACTAAAATACGTCAAAATTGAACACTTAAAAAAATATAAATATCTTTATAACAAACATTTCATCAACCCATTAAATTGAAGATGAATAAAAAATATCATAAATAAAAAAACTGATTAAAATATAAATTGAGTTGCACTCAAATATGTAAAATTAAAAAAATTACGTATCTTAAGAGAAAAAAAAATAATTATTCTATATTTTAACATTAGAAAGGGAGGGTAATATTTACATTTTTTAAGAGAAAAAAATACTTTAATAGAGTACTAAGTTAAATGAATTAAATTATATTTTATTATAAGAGAGAATGACAATATAATATTTGTATGTTTCTATTTTTATTTTTAGCGAGGAAGAAAAATTGGGA